GTGCTCCCACGTGAACACATAACTCCAGCACACCAGCAGAAGGGACATCTCTGACACGCCAGCAGGACGTCTGTCTCCTCCTACTGAATCACACAACCCCGCTAAATGCCAATTCACATGCGATAACATTCAATCTTAGCATTAGCTTAATAAATAAAAACAGAGCAGAACAAGAGCTTAGTTATTATGCTAGGCTACGCTAGCGGCTATGTTAGCAGCTGTGCAGTGGTACTCATACAGGCGGCATGTAAAGAAGCAACACTGACCTAAAATAATACAAAAATTAGATGATAGAAAAATCTTGGTCAGATAAACAATGATCTGTATTCAGTGAATATTCTGGAAAAAATACAGCAAAAGTTTAATGAATCAGCATTGATCTGTGTTCATTTTAAATTTTAAACAGTATATTTGGTAAAACAATCCACTTACCCATCAGAATAAGCAGATACAGACTCCATCTTTGATCTGACAGATGAAAGTGATATTTTATTGCGCAAGGAAACAAAGATTTGAACAGAACTTCTTCGATTCACTTTATGCCAAGAAAGAAAGACAAGATGGTAGGGAATATGAAATATATGTGAACCATTATAAACCAGAATCGACGTTAATGTTTTTTTTAAATAATTCAGCAGCTCATGAACAAGCTGATTGAACCATTAATGTTACTTATCTTGAAATCTCTTGGTACTTTGATTATTATTAGTAATAATTATGCATAATATATGTTTTTTTTTCTTTTTTGAATACACAAATGTACATTACACATCACCTCTGTACCACAAATATGTAATAATATTAAATGTTTTAAACTTACATGTGATAAATTATTCTCTATTCGATGTGTTCATGAGGACAGCTCTCAAGTAAATATTAAAATACACTCAAAGAGAGCTCTCTTTGTCCAGGTCAGGATTTGAATATTAAATTTTAAAAAGTGCATCTGTTTCCTTTGACAGACTGACTCACAGATGGGGGAGGAATTTTATACAAGACTCATAAAAGGTGTCATTTACATGATGAGGAAACAGGAAAAAAGGTGCAGAAACCGCTGCACTGCTAACAGTCCAAGAAGCAAAAACATATAAACACGTCTTCCTTATTTATGCTGCTTAATAACTTCATCCATTATCTTAATCTGGGAGTGAGGCACAGGGAGAGCATGAACATTACATAAAAAGAGTAGATAACATCCATCCTCTTAAAAACTTATCCAACTCAGACTTGCAGGCCAGCCTGGAGGATATTCCAGCTGCGTGTCTGTGTGAGGCTGATTACACTTATTTTATTATTATTATTCATATATTGTTTAAAAAAATGTAATGTTAAGGTGGGATATTGGACTATCAAATCAAAACGATCAATTAAAGTAGTCTTGTTTACACTGCACTTTTATATACATAAAAAACCTGAGTAATTTTAAATAATGTGTACATTGATGCAAATTAGACTGAGTTTGTAACTTTAATTTGCTTTTATAATACATTTTGTGCTGGAAATGGGAGATGAAGATCATGCTCTGCATGTGTAAGGCAAACAGACTTTAGTATTTTATCAGGTTACTCTAAATGACTTCATGAATATTAGCTCTGCTTCTGTTTTCCTTAAACAAACACCAGGTGTAATCTGCTTCTGTTAAACTGTTTCACATAAGCATAAACTAAGAGCGGTGAGGTGATGTAACATTACAGTTAAACGTTTGAAATTTTTTGTTATATTTTGTTTAGTTTCTTTTTCTTTTTTTCTTTTTTTTACATTGAGCTGCACTTTAAGTATTAGGTATTTTTTCTGCACTGTAACACTTGAAATGTAGAGACATCAAGGACAGATAAACAGTCTAAAATAAATCAATAAACATGAAAAGAAGACCAAATCCATGAAAATGTCCATGAAAATGCATTTTTATAAAGTAATCTAAATTATGGAGACAACAGGATGCAGCTTGCCAGCATCAGTATTCAGATATGCTGCACTCTGCCTCTCACCCCACATCATGTGGGATCAGCTGCAGCTTCAGTACTAAGTCCTCAATCTCACCTATGGTGGTTTTAAGCTTTGCCATCTAATTGTACAAAGAAACTTTCAAGATCCTAACCTTCCTTGAAGTCAGGTATTTTTGGTTCACCTACATGAAGGTTTTCTGCTCTCTGTACCAGAGCAGTTTGTACAACATGCAGCTGAGGCTGTGCATGGAGTGGTTGAGATGGAGAAGCGATTCTATGAGGTAGCTGCAAAGCTGATAGGTGAGTCTCAGTCTCTTGCTTTGGGAAAGCTGCTGTTGTAGAAACGTCCCTCTGGACAGAAGGCTGATGAAGTTCAGAATATACATCATGTTGCAACTTTGGTTTACTATCGCTAGTGTTAAGGTTCAAATATTGAGGAAGGAGAGTACAAACAACCATGGTCCAGAACTTGGTCAAACAATTGATTTTAATGAAATACACGCGTGGGAAGACCAGCTCCGTTCGCAGACAGGGCTGATCTCCGACTTAATCAAAGCATAAACAGATATTTTATACCATCAGGGCTTAAATTTAATGACGCCCCCTCAACGTCAGATCCATTTCATACATAGGTCAGATCAAAACCACAATGACTTTTAACACAGTTTAAAAGAACATTGTCTCCGTCTCCACGCCAGGTGCTTCCTTTCCCTTCTGACTTCCACTTCTCGTCTAGAACACCAGACACACATCCTGCAAAAAACTATTCCTCTTTTTGCAGAGACAACAAGAAATTGTTCCTCTTTCGCAGTTGCGAGCAAACATAACTAACCTCTCACCTATAAATGATTCTCTCTGAGTGTGTGTGTATGTCTGTGTGCTAACCACAATTGCACCCTATTTCACCTCGCCGACTAGCTCCTGACCTCTCACCAGACAGAGAGACAGAAGCCACTCTCATATATGTAATAACCGAACTGAAACTATGTATATGTCATCTACTAAATAAATGTTTTAATCAAGAACCTCTACTAAAGGCTTAATACAAGAATATGAACTTATAAACGATAATAAAAATGACCTGATATAAGTGTTTTGTAAGCATGTATTGCAATTCCTTCTATGTTCTAGTTTCCCTCAGCATGTATCACCTGGACAGTCACGCCAGTGAAGCTTAAGACCCTTAATGAACCGAACATCAACTCAAAATAAGCACAGATATGCAATGTGTATAAAATAGTTATAACTGCATCTGGAATACAAGGTTAATATGATAACAGTATGCATAAACATCTTAAGGCCATCTTAAAGCTATCTGTTACATTGTTAAAGCAATGATCATACTGCAGATTATATTGTGCTGGTAAAATACTTTTGTTCATCCCCACACTAGACATGGCACGATACCACTTTTTTATGTCCGATACCGATACCAATAACATATATTTGGATAACTGCCGATACCGATATAAATCCGATATAGCGTATTTCATAATCAATAAAATGTTTTTTTTAAATATCTTGCTGCATTTTGTATAAGTTCATACTCAAGTTTAAAAAACAAACAAAACTAAAGCTATTCTGTTAAACCTGTATGCAAAAAATACACTGCACCCAAAATATTTCATAGATCAGCAAAACTGATCAATCTAATAAACTTAAACCTACACCATCCTCCCTATTCTGGTATTTTAAAGAGTACTTAGTGGAAATATTAAACAACCTAACTAATAGAGTTATCAACTCCCAGCAAAAAGAAAAAAGGGAACCACCCCCCACACTGAAAAAAAATTGGAGTGACATTTACTTAAAAAAAGTTAGGCAACTTTTTCCACACAGAAAGTGCTTGTAATCTTTACTCGGGCTATTTCTAAGTAATTAATAATTATAATATATAATAATAAGTAATAATTGTGGAGGTGGGGGTGTGCTACCACAGAAACCAAAAAAGCTCGGGCCAGCAGCATGTGTCCAAATTTCAATCAAAATCGTTCGATTTCATCATAAACAATCTGAAAACAAAGCTTTAAGTGTAAAATAACAAACTTGTCCTTTAAATAAGAGTGATACATTCTCAGTGTGTATGACCTCATCTTTTCCATTAGATTATGTAATTAAAATAATTTAAAATTTTACCTTATTCAGTGAGTCCAACATTGGTTTTATTTTGGTCCCTGCAGTCCCGCCCTTCCTTCGAAATATCTCCAGGAGTTTGGTGGTGTACCCGTCCAATCTGGACAAAAACGTTCGCTCCAGATGAATTGTGGTTATTCGCTTAAACTCCTCTTTGATCTGAAATGAGAGATAAAACACAAAATCATGTCAAAGATGACTCATGAGATCTCACATACACTTAGTTGCTGCATGAACAAGAACTGGATTTACCTGATTTTCACAGAACAGAGAAGGCCACCTCTCTAAGAGGTCTTGGATTGCGGGGCAATCCTTGACAACCTCTTTTCTTCTCATAGCGAAAGACTTCTCCATTTTCTCATTAATTGCCCTCTCATTGTTCTTCTTCTTCATTTCCTTCAGCAAATCTAGTCTCTCCATCTCTAAGGTTTCCTCAGTCTCACCGAATGGCAGTGGTGGCAGATAGTTGACTTCAGCTTTTTTGGCCCTTTTAAAGCCTTTAAGTGAACCCTCTTCACTGGAGCATCGTCTCTTCAGTGTGTTCACCTCGAGCTCTGGAATGGCTAATTGGCGACCTCTTAACTTTGCCCTGTAGTTGCCCATTTTATACTTTATCCTCTGTTGCCAACCATATAGGCCATTAAAAGACCCTGGCTCTTTGAGGCATGGGTATTTTGCTACCAAGGCTTCAGCAACAGCTAAAATCTGGACACCAGTTGGATATGCTGTGAAGCCAAATATAGTCTCTGCAAGCTTCTCAAGAATGCTACTAGTTACGCTTGGGTTGTTCAAAAGTGTGCCATCATTTTCATAAGCTTGCTTTCCTGCTTCCAGTGCAAGGTCTATATCATAAGAGAAGTCTGGTATTTCAAACTTAAATGGCCATGGCTTAGACCTGTAGGATGGTCCACTCTCATCTGGGGAGGACAACAGGATTGTGTCGCATACAGATGAGGAGGAGCTTGCTTCTGTAGATAGTGGAACTGGAGATTCGACTTCTGACATGTCCACAGTAGTGAGACTTAAGATTACTGGTTCAGTTTTTACTACTTTGAGGTTAGCTTTATCTTGTACTTCCTCAATCGAGGTCAAAGTGAAGAACTGACCATCGAAATCCATGTCCTGGTACATAACAGTGAATGGTCCTGTAATATCAAATGTCTCTCGAAGAACATCATTGAGGTCCTGAAGTGTGCTTGGGATGCCTGCAGGTAAAAGTAGTTTGTGGACATCATCCTCCCCAAAAATTATCCGCAGTTTCGCTGAGGGTGCCATATCAACAGGAAGAAGCTGCAACAACAGAAGAGAAATACACAGACATTTATTCACAAGCTTCTCTCCTCACATTTCAAAAGGATAGGCAAATGTGGTGCTTTAAAGTTGTCAGGCGTCTTCCTGCAAGGGTGTATGAAGCCAAAGGATAAAAATCTTTAAGCTCTCTTTGCTCAAGTAACTGCACACTCCCTGTGTTCTCCAGCTCATAACTCCTCAGGTGTTCATTGTACCATGTATTTTGTTGTCTCACGAAAAAAGTCAGTTTGTTACAAATCACCATTATCTGTAACACTTCAGAAAAGTCAGGCAGTCCTGCAGTGGAACCACAACACAACAACATTCCCACTGCATAGTTGGTGCCTAAACTGCACACATTATTGGCAACATGCACAGCTGTAACAGCAGGGAATCTGCATTTCACCAGGTCTTTTAGATCATCCTTAAGCACATCTAAAGAGACCTCTGTTGTTTTTGTGACTGCAAGTGATGGTTTGACAGAATGTGATTGATGATATGCAACCATGAGCTGGTGCTTATTTGCAAGGGACAGCAAAATATTCCTGAAACAACCAGTGTGTCTTACCACCTTCTTGAAAAAGCTGTGTTTGGCCTCGAATCTCATTGTCCAGAGGGCAGCTAGGGGGCCAAATTCCCGAATGAGCTGAGGATAGTGCTCAAGGAAATGGTGCTTGGGAATGAGCTTATGTTGGGGGAAAACATCAAGGAATCTGCTTCGGTGTTCTGAAATGATGCTGTCAAGATAGCAAATGCTTTCTTCAGTATGGGCTCGAGACATGACAAGGTCCACAATGTCTTTCAGTGTCATCAGCATCTGCCATACAGGCTCTTGTTGGGGTACTTTTAAACCTATAATCAGAGGCAAAAGACGTAATAAGCACCAATTTTCATGTGCGTTGCCCCCTACTGATTTTGAGTCGAAAAGTTAGCAGGAATGAGATGAGGGCGATTTGTTTTATCACTCCACTTGTATGGGAAATTGGAAATGGCATCATTCAGTTCCATGAGAGAAAAATATTTTTTCTTGATCAAGTTATCAAATGCCAAAGCCAGTTCCACTGGAACAATGCCCTCCAGCAGATCATGTAAAACATCTGGAGGGTAACCAGATGTAACATGAAAATGCTCAAGTTTTTCTGACAATGCACACTGTTTTTTTACACCATAACAATGAGGGTGATCTGGACTAGACACAGCTGTCTGTACATGCAGTGTATGTTGATCTTTGGTTCTTTGATGAAAAGACCCAGATCTCACTTCATTGGACTGAAACTTGGATCGCTCCCCAACACAAAACCGGCAGATGTATGACCCTGCAAAGCTTTCGACAAATCCTGCCACAGAGTGCGCCCCCAAATTATCTGCCACCACACTGACCACAGTCCCTTTAATGGCTTTCCCTAACGCTGGAACAAAAAGACCATCTTTCTCCAAGCTTTGGATATCTGTTAACAGTGGCTCTAAAACTCGCTGGAATCCAAACTGCTTGGTGTCTTCAGCCTTACACAGAATTGCAAGGTAGATTGATGTCAATGTGGAACGTAACTGCACCGGAATGTTTCCCAACACCCAATAGACAGCTGTGACTTTGTGCTTTTTTCGAGATGTCCCAAGAGGATTACATACCTCAAAGTCATCAACGTACAGGATGAGACTCACTCTGTTCTCCTCTACAGAGAAAAACTTGTTGTTTTGATAGTGAGATCCATCACGAAATGTCTGGTACTTAAAGTCATTTTCAGTTTTTTTTTCACCTTCAAATGTGTTTTCTTGAAAAGACTTACTTAGGACCTGCACCAAGGAGGGCAATATTGGGACATACTGGAAGGTTTTGCCCTTTTTTTTTTATTATCAAGTATGTGTTCTTCTGGTTCAACAACTGAAAAATGCTTCTTCATAAATTCTCTTCTCTTGTAATAAGTTGTGAAAGGGCCACCTGTCCCCAAGGCAGTACTTATAGGGTGTGTCTCACAAAGATTTTTCACTAAATCTGAGATAATGGCTGGATCCAGATCACAATTATGGCTTTTCAAGGTGGACACCACCACATCTCTTAAAAGTGGACCAGATGCAGAGGTGGATATAAACTGAAGCTCATCTACTATTTCATCAATGCATTTGTTTGGGACATTGAACATGCTTTCTAACTTTAAAAATAGATGGCCAAATTTCTCTTTTATATCTTGAGACAACTCCTGTGGTTCCCCATCCCAAAGCTCTAAGCTCTCTTCCACATAGGTCTCATCCTGAGCAAACATGGGTTCATTAGGTTTGCTTTTTAATACTTCAGTTTTAAAATCCTCAAGGGTGTGTGACTGGTGTTTTCTGTGTCTATGTGTAGCAAAGGTGGAATAAATATTTGTACTGAAGTTGCAGTTTTTGAAGACACATGCAACTACTTCAAACTTCCTTAAGTGGTTGTTAAGATGCTCAAAATACTGCTTCTCTGAATTAAAAAAAACAGAGCAGCAAAGTAGACAAGTAAATGAAAGAGGTCCACTTTGTGTGACCATCTTCACATGGTGTCGAGACAAATGGGTCTTAAGGGCATTAAATGTTTTAAACGAGCAAGGGCAATCAGTGTGAAGACAAGGGACTGACTGGCTGCGACCACCATTTCCATGCTTTAGTCTGTAGTGTTTTAACAATCCCAACCTCTTCTCTGACTCAAAGCTACATATCTTACACATCCATCTCATGTTGTGGCACCTTAAACAGACAAATTGACCATCTCAAAATTAAACCAAACTGCCACACAAAGCAATTATGTGACAAGTTAAACCTAATCGTTACTAATTTGATCTTACCTTGTGGAGTTCAAATTAGCAGTCAGAAGGTCCTATGTTCTGTAAAAAAAAAAAAAAAAGAAAAAAGGTTATCTATATGCTTTTCAACTAATTTCTACTAACTCAAGGATGCACACTGATATTATTTATTTTTTTTACATAAGTTAGTTCGGTGGCAAATTTAAAACAGGTCAATATGAAGACTTGAGTGAAATCGAGTGCGTATATCGTTTTTTGTTTTGTTATTTTTCAAAATACACCTCATGGCAGCTGTGCAGCAATTATTTTAAACTGGACCGTGGTCGTTTTATTCACAAAGACGTTAGTTAAGGCAGCAGGCGTGTGTTGTTTAGGTGGCCATCTAAGCTGTAAAGTGCTGTGGGAAATTCTGGACATACCTCCTGCCAGGAAAGTTAGTCAGCAAGTCTAGCAGGAAAATACACTATTTGCTAGCGCAGCTCCAACCGTCGAAATGTGGACCATGGTATGTCTGAAGAAAGACCGCTCAAATGTGGGGAGGGGCTTTGACGTCATGCTCCGAATGCAGAGAAGGTGGCCATATTCACTGATGTCACTCCATTACATTTTACTTGGAAATATCAACTAATTAAGCCAATGAATTGGTTTAGTGAATATTACTTGGATCGAATGATTCAATTTACATACAAAACTGAGGACACATAATTACAAACAATCCTCAAGTAATGCACTACAAGAAAAACTGCTATTTTAAAGTAATAGCACTGAATTTGTATTTTTTTGTAAAATTTATATAGCTAATTGAAATAATAATTACAGGGCCAAAAAAACATTTTTTTCAGTGCACCCTCATAATGCTTAATTGACGGAATCGACTTCAATTTAAAGCATGTGTAAAAAAAATGCACAGAAGTCAATCATTGTTCTACAATAATTAAGTAGATTCAACATCTTTCTTCAACAGAATTGCAAAGGAAAAAGTACTGTAGCTTTCTAGATTATAAATTTGACTTAACAGTTATACAGTAATTGACTTCTATACATTTTACATCAGATGAAAACTTTGGTTGTAAGATTCAGATAATTATTTATTAAAAGCTAGACATGACAATTAGAAAGAAAAGTATGTCTTTGTGCCCCCTTTTCCCTGTTCATGCCATATCGGCCCCCCTGGCTAAACTTTGCTAGATCCGCCCCTGCACAGTTACCAGCGTCAGCTACGTAGAAAAAGATCCTGGTGTAGAAAGTAATATTAAATAAATTCTAACAACAGCTTATCAAGCTTAAACGTGCTGCTGTTGTTCAGCCGCTGGTTTCCTCTTCTGGTGCAAAGTGGGCCAAAAACAAAGAAGAGACGGGAGTCACGACAGAAGTTTCATGGAGAGGGAGGGAGAGAGAGGCAGTCGCTCCATATATCGGTTGTTAAGCTTAACGTGGGAATGCTTTACAAACGTTCAGAGATGAACTTACACACTTGCCTTACTTCTCTCTGGGATAGCTTCCTCCGAGATGAAATGCGGGTTTGGAAGCCAGGCTCCAAATGCTCAACCAGACCGCTGACATGTCTGGCATGCCACAGCCGCTCTATCACCAGACGCATACTGCTAAGCTCATGAGCTGGGTTACGCTATGACGCAAGTTTTGTGAGGCGCTTTTGTGATATTTAATGGATTAGATTACATTTTTTATTTCTCTCCGATATCCGATTCAGTAATTTAGGTCAGTATCAGACCGATACCAATACTAAAATCGGATAGGTCCATCTCTAATTATCGCTCAGCTGTTTAATGTTTTTATGAACAGTATTGTTTCTGTTCTTTTGGATCATCACATAAATTCTCAAATTTCATCAAAGAGATCAGGTTCAGAAAGTTATTTACTCACAACCCTGACTGTTATTTGCTTAGGTCGTACCGCTGGTTCAAAATCATCCTCATCAGCCATCTGGCTCAGCTTGGTTCCGCCTTCTCCTTCTTCCATGTCAGCAAGGGAGCTTATCCTTGTCTCACAGATTTTTCTACATCCTACTCCTTTCTTTTAGCCTGTTTTCATCTTCAATTCACAGACATAATTAATCCCACTTCTGGCACCATTGTTACGCAGAGAGGTGTGGTGTGGAAAACAGCAGACATCACTCTGAACAGACGACAACATTAGTTTATTGGACAATCTTTCACACATCAACTTCCAAAACTGCAACCCACTAATCTCTCCCACATCCCACAGTCCACCTTTACACACTCTCAAACAAAGCCTTCTCAATTCAAACTAGCCTACGAGACAAAGAACATGAGTTTTCACAAATAATCATAACATTATAAATCACATGTCATATATGCACATACACAATTTAAAGGTAATTTCACACTTCTCGAATTACTTTAAATTTCTGCAAATGGTTGAACAACCAAACTCCTACTCTTTCCAGCTCACATCCTATAAAAGATCTGGTTTGACCTGGTTACTTACACCAAACATTTCACTTCTATCTTCATGCACAGGTTTCTTTAGCACTCATTTTACATTTTAAAAAGCCCACCATAGGTGAGTTGGGGAAGGACTTAAATATTTGTGTTTCCTAACATGGTCTGTAGTAGAAACCTGTAAAATCACATTAGCATCGTGTATTATTTGCTGTGGATAAAGTGTAACAGTCACATCTGTACACGCATTAGAAATGTAATACATGTTTACTCTGGTGCGAACCTGTAAAGCCACTAGATGGTACTGTTTGGCTGTCATAGTCTATGTGAATACTCTCGAATTTGTTTTGGTTTCTGAACTACACTACAGTGAAATAACAAA